GCACCCAAAGTATGTTTAAAAAGTGCCTGTGAGTGCCAGTTTGGGACAACAGGATGCCTTTTTTTTCTAATTACCTCCTGTCACAGTATTTACCTTTGAAAGAAGAGGGGAAAAAACCCAATTAAGTTGCTTGCTGAGGAAGTGTTCATTGTGCACTGCAGTTGCACATCATACTAAGAAGCCTGCATGGACCTAAGTAAACACTTCTTTAAAGAGCTGGTGATATCTGTCAGTGCAAGAAAACAGATAGCAACCTCGGGATTTTATTGTTAATATTTGCAGTCCTGCAAAGAAAGAATCAATTAAAGAGGGCGCCTAAAGCACAAAGAGCAGTTCCTGATATTTTCCTGTATTTTCAGATTCTTACTACCAATCAATTTGTACCTGGCCCTAGGAAAACACAGCCCTCCTCAGTAAGAATACCTGTGGTCAAGGTATGTGTAAAAATAGCAAGAAATATTGTTTTCCTCCTTATCTTTGCCTGAGTGGCAGAGTGAACAGCTGAAGAAATAGGAATATTTTCTCTTCATAGGTTATTTCTTTTGATTTTGTTCTGCTTTTTTTAGACTGACTGCTCAGTCTATCATGTAGGGGACAACCATGGTTCCTTGTGAATTACTTCCCACCACACACTTCCATGAGGGGACCTGATTTTCAGCACACAGGGAGGACTGTCTTTAACATTTACTCTGAGGAGCTCGGGCAGCAGCTGGTCCATAAATGCTATAGTTTTTATTTCTGTCCTTATGGAAATGCAGGAACATTCTTCTGACTGTGACAAGCCTGCCATAAGACAGGAGGCTCCGGGGGAGAAGTGGAAAAGTGTAGCTTGGAACCTCTACCTGCAGAAGTGCTCAAAGCAAAGCTGTCAGGTGGATGCTCAGGAGAGAAGTATTTCTGGAGGAAAAGACACAAATCTCAGGATTCTACTTGTTTTTACACTGATCTTTTCCAGACTTGACAATTTCCAAATAATCTCCAGAGCAAACCAGACATGGCAAAATACTTCCACAGTGTACTGAGGTGATTTGTCTTGCAAAATAGAAAATTATCTTTTACACAATTAAATACGTGACTTTACAAAACCTCCTCTTGCTGATATTGCTATCCAGGTCAATTTTAAGTCTCCTTTTTTAAAATCAAGATTACAGTCTCAAGAGCTAGCAACAATTTTTCCTGGTATTCTGGAGAGTAATGTTGGAAAGGTCATAGTAAAAGGTTAGAAACGAAGTTGATTCTAACAGGGCAGACAAAATTACTGTGACTTCACAGGGGTTTTGCGTGCATGTTGGCCAAGTTTATACTACTGCTTCTTTTTTCATTGCTGTAAATGTTGCATTGAAGCTCCCTTTAAGATCCAGGCAAAGTCTATTAGCACACCCAGCTATGCAGCAGCAGTACAGGAGTTGAAAAAGGGGACAAAATGTCTTCCATCGAGAACAGAACTCTGTAGCAAAGGTTCCAGACCCTAGTGAAGCCATAAGGAATTGAGCTTATTCTGTCTCTCTCTATAATTACAGACAGGTAGAGCTGAAGACTTAAATATCTGCCTGGACAGTGATTTTTTTTTTTTTACTAGCCAAATGGGAAAGTTCCTCTCCACCACAAGAAACCAGTTAAAGAAAACTATCACTATTTGAAATGGAGCAGAAACCAGCTGGTATTTAGGAATTTTAAAAAGAGATTTCTGATCAGAAAAGATCAGAAGGCAATGCAGCTCCCACAACCAAAAAAAAAAAAAAAAAAAAAGAAAATCTAGATCTTCTCTTTTCAAAGTCCCCATTATCTCTCTTTTCATGTCACATACATATCTCAAACTAAGCAAAAGCAGGAAAAAAGCGAGTTATGGTCTTAGCATCTTTGAATTCCACTGCAGAGAGGGCTAAGAAAAGCACAAAGCACAAAGAATGCTGTTAATTATTTGCCTTTATTCTAGTTCTATTCTAAAACTGTTCTTATTGGCCATTGTAAAAAAAAAGAGTAAAAGGAGAATTTACTAAAGGTATTGCAAGCTCTGTTGTCACGAAGATCTGTAACCTCCTGAGAGATTCTGAAAGATTTTGACACCAATACAGATAAGTACAAGTGAAATGCAAATGTTCTGGGGAAACCTATTATACAGAATTCAGGAAAGTTTTAGAAAAGAGTGAAAGAAACTTGATAAGGAACGCATGTAAACCAATACTGAGGTGTGCAGTTGGAAAGCTTCGAGAAGAAGGGGTTGGCTAGCAACTGTTTAACTCTGTCAGAGTGCCTCTTGATCGCTGTACTAATTAAGGGTCTCATTACGGTTTCAAATGGAAGGTTAAATTTCTTCTAAGCTGCATGTGGAATCCTATCCTTTCAGTTTTGCCTAAAGATCTTCAGGATCATCAGTTGCCTTAAAGAAAGGATCCTGGAACAAAAGAGACAGCGCTGAGCATCCCTTTTCCTGTGCAGCTTTAAACAGCACAATACACATTCATATCATGCTTCTTTTTTTCAGCTGCGTGTACCTTGACACTTTGGCTCTCTCACTGAGCCCAGCTGCATCATTTTTTATCTGGAATCCAAAGAGAAGACAGCTGCTCGGTTTCACATTCCCTTTGAAGGCTATCAACAACACCCTGTGAACAGGGGTTAGGAGTTTTCCTTTCAAATTAAATGGACTACCCTATTCTTTCTTTCAATCATGCAGAGTTCCTGAACCGAAACTGTATTCAACTGGAACTATTGGTCAAAAAATGTGCCCACTCAGGAAGCTGTTGTTGTCTCCACATTTAACTCACATCCTGTAAAAAGTAACACACACCCTGGATTTATGTCCATGAACCATCACATTCCTTCACTCTTGCAGAGCCCAGATTCAAAACTTGCTATGTCCAGCTATTGCTCCCAATCCAAAGCTCCCAGAACAAAAAAGTAAGCGCTGGTCTTCACTTTGTCCTCGCAGCTTTTGAAGTGCAGCACACACAGGTCTGTGCGCTCAGTCTCACAGAGTCCAGTTACAAAGGTAAGAACGTTCGGCAGCTGGTCCCACAGGAGAAACTCTAGAAGAAAGAGCCAGTGCTGGAATTCCCTTTCCTTTTGCAGCCTTATAAACTGCACAGCCAACAGTGAGACAATTCGTTTTCCTTCACATCCAGAATCACACGGCCCTTCCTTCTGTGCAGAACCACATGCTTTCAGTCTCGAAGAGAGCATCCACAACAGAAGCCCTACACTGCCTGCTCTCACACGAACGGTGCCGGGACGGAAAAGTGCTCGGCTTGTTCCTGGGCATGACAGAAAATGAACCACACGATGGCGGTGTGGACTTGCAAAAGAAGAAAACGCACCTCCGCCTATCTAAAATACCGAAAGTGGAGCTCCAGGTTAAAATCACCACGGCGCTCAAATTAACTGTCATGACAAAAGGATTTCGCTGCTCTCCCGAATACAAACTCTTTATTTGCCCCATACTCAAACGGCAACACGAACTCCTTTTATGCTACAAACTTGAAACCATCCGGCAGAAGCAAAGTTCACAAAAGTGTCAGCTTGAGAATGCTGATGCTGCCTTACAACTTCAGCTGCACCCAAAGAACTGCTCAGTTTGGCATGTGGTTTCCACTTCTCAGAGGTGGCCTTCAGAAATTCTGGCAGCACATTTACTTCGGACAAGGTAAGCAGCTATGCTCAGAAATGGGTGTGCAGCTGGTAAGAGTGCCCCGGGCAGGTAATGCCCAGTAACAGTGTTCTGGCACCTTTGTAGGGGCTCATTTCCTGGATGTTGTTTATCCGAAGGAGGGGATCTAATTTGAGATGGGCTTATAGTTCCTCTCTTTGGCAAAGAAACCAATTTTGAATCCGCAGACTGCATGGTCTTGGTGACATTTAATGGTTTTTCCTAATAAGCAGTTCTGTCACTTAGAGCTGTTGAAATGTTCTGGTGGGAATGCAAAAGCCAAGCTGTTGAGCTTTCTATCCTGGTACTTTTAATGCGTGAGCAGTCACCGGTGCTGTTCCATTTGAATCGTGGCTCTGTGAGACTGAAGGATTATGATGGTTCAAAGAGCTGAGAAGGAAAGTGCAGACAGCAGGGTGTGTACTGGTAAAGTTCTTCGGCTAAAATTGAAATTGTAAGCAGCAAGAGCTTTCTCAGCTGCCACTTTTGGGAGCTGTGTTTTTGCCAGATGGTTTCAAGTTTGTAGCCGGACTCTGCCAGAATGAAGAAATTCATTAGCACAGAGGAGTTTGTGTTGCCATTTGAGTGCGGCACAAGTAAGAGTTTGAATTTGGGAGGGGAAGATAATTGAAATATTTTTGTCTTGACACGGTGGATTGGACAGCAGTGACGTTTTCAGCTTGGCTCTGCACTTGCAGTGGTTTAGAGCAAGGCAGGAGCTTTTCCTCCTTTTGCAAGCCCACATCGCCATCGTACGGTTGGTTTTATGAGCGCTGACAGCGCCCAGGGAAAAGCCAGGCCCTCATCTTCCCCCTGCCGTCTGCCAACAGCCCAAACACACTGGTGAGTGTCACTTTCCTTCTCAGCCTTCACGTACAGCATCACAACCACCGGTAATCTGAAGCGTTTCCAGGTGGGGTCGGGCTCTGCTCCCAGAAAACAAGGGGGAACTGCCTCAAGCTGCGCCACAGAGGCTCGGGTTGCACACCACGAAGAACTCCTTCACTTAAAGAATTCCTTCTCGGACACTGGAATCAGCTGCCCAGGCTGGCGGTGCAGCTACCGTCCCTAGAGCCACCATCACACCCTGAAGTGCTGAAGGAAACCCTGGAGGCACCACGCAGTACCACAGCGCGGCTCACACGACAATGTCGTCTGGCAGGCTGGCTTCACTAACCCCTACAATCCCCCCCGCGCTAATGAACTCCGTGACTCTTTAATGAACCGCTGACCCTGCGCTCTCTGAGACACCCCTCAATGACCCCGCAGCCTCTGAGGGATCTCCCGGGGCCCCGCCCCGCGCAGCCGCGCTGCGCCCGCGGCCCCGCGCATGCGCCGCGCCGCCCCAGGAAGACACAAGATGGCGGCGGCGGCGCGCTGCGCCCGCGGGCTGGGGCTGCCAAGGGCAGGTGAGTGTCAGCGCCTCACGGGCCCGCCCCGGCCCCCGCTGCTCCTGCCGCCCCTCAGCGAGCTCGGCCCGTTCGTGCGGCTCTGTCTCAGCCCGCGACGCGCTCCGCTCCCTGGAAAGGAGCTACCGAGAATTTGCCGGGGGTGCTGAAATGATCGCGTTTGTGCCTCCCTTCTCCTCAGGGAGCTGGGGCTTGGAGCATAAGGGACTCGGGATGTAGCTGCGGGTGGCGCGCTGGGGTTGTCACTGCCCTGTAAGCTGAAAGCTTGGATTCCTTTTGCCGTTTCTTAGGTGACTGTGACCTTTGGGCCATGATCGATGGTAAAGTTTAGCTACCAATATTACATTTAAAGCGTGTATTTGGGTCATTGCCTCCGTTTAAATTGATTCTGCCCACACTCTTAAGTTGAGATGGTAAGTGGGGTTTGTTGGGAAGGGGCAGAAAGTAATTAATATTCTTTTAGTGGTGGCAGTGTGTTCTTTATTTACCTACCTGGCTATCAGACTGCCTTTTAGGACAAAGTGGGAGATGTGTCTTTTTCCAATTCGTGGGATAGGGAGAGAACAGGGATAAACAAACTTGGGTAGGGAAAAGGCAGTTTGGATTTGCTGTGGATATTTGAGCTTTAATTCACAGAATGGCAGAACTATTGGGATGGGAAGGGACCTTAAGGATCATCTCGTTCCACCCCCTGCCATGGGCAGGGACACCTTCCACTATCCCAGGTTGCTCAGAGCCCCATCCAGCCTGGCCTGGAACACTGCCAGGGATGGGGCAGCCACAGCTTCTTTGGAAAGTGGAATTTGAATCAATGGTTGGGCATATAACCATAGCTGCTGATAATTTATGGCAGCCAGACCTCACAGAGTTACAGAACAAGGAAAGGTGCTCATCACTAAACACCTTACAGCTTAAGGTTAGCACAATAGGAGAATACACAAAAGTGGGAGGATACAAAACAGTAATTAAATATTATTTGTTGGTATGATAGTGAAGAGGCATTATGAGGAGCCTGCCACCAATAATTTTTGCAGAAGTAACAGGAAAAAAAACCACAGAGTTGTTTAAATATAAAAAGTATTGCTGATTTTTTTTTAACTTTCACTGGCTTTCAAACTACCTGTCAGGACAAAATTGGAGATGCAATATCTTTTTCCAGTTTGTGGGGTATAGAGAGAACAGAAATGGAAAAGGAGACTTTTGGGTAGCGAAAAACCTCCTTCAGGTGCTGAAATCTGGTTGAATTTTCTATTTTGAGTTCTGTCAGCTGAGGTAACAATATAATTAATGCCTCAACACACCCTATCCTTTTGATCTTCTCAACATTGTGGCTGCATTGTCAGTGTCCCTGACACTGACAGTAATTCCTGATCACGTTGGGATAAAACCTTCCTCAGTTTACAAGTGTCAGGTTGCTCCCAGTCCCATCCAGCCTGGCCTTGGACACTGCCAGGGATGGGGCAGCCACAGCTTCTCTGGGAAACCTGTGCCAGGGGCTCAGCACCCTCACAGGGAGGAATTTCATCCTGATATCCCATTTAACCTCCTCTGTCAGTGTGAGGCCATTCCTCTTTGTCCTGTTACACATGCTCTTGTATATCAGTATCCTGATGATGTCCTGCCTCCATGGCTCCCAAGTTTTCCTAGCTCCTTGAGGAAAGGAGCAGCTTTGAGACAGCATCCTGTGTATCATGGAGCTGGCTCTTTGCATCTCTCCCTATCTCCTCCTGCAGAGCTGTGATACAGGAGGATTGCTTCTTCTGTTCTATTTTATGTTTTTGCTGAGTATTCTTTACTTGCTTCACCTTAAACTCACAGTAAGCTTTACTTGCTCTTTAAGAGCAAGTCTTCTCCTTCCCTGTCTCTGTTTGGTCCTTAACTTTACCAACAACTTCCCAGGCCTGCTCCCCTTTGACCCCTCCAGATATCTCTGAAACAGCCCATCAGGAGCCTCAGCGTGGGATATTAGAGAGAAAAGATCTGTGATGAGAAAACCAATATAAGCTGTGAGTTAGCAGTGCCAAATCCCAATTAATGTCCCGAACTCTCTCCTGTTCCACTTTGCAGGCCATGGAATTTCTGTCCTGACTGCAGCACCGTCGGTGTTGCTGCAGCACCGGCAGGTCCATCACGCTGTGATCCCTCATGGGAGAAGTGGAAGATCCTCTGTCAGTGGCATTGTGGCCACTGTCTTTGGAGCCACAGGTTTCCTGGGACGATACGTTGTCAACCGCTTAGGTAATGCTCACCAGGAGTACTGATGGAAAAAAATAGAAAATAAATGTTTAATGAAACTAATTAGTCTTTAGGTTGCAGGGTGATGGAGAAATCTCTGGCATTTTGGATCTTAAAAGTGTTTTGTAGTATGCTTAGGTTTCAGGATGTGACAAGTAGGAGAAAGTGTTTTAATCAGGCAAGTTTTGGAGCTTTTGAGGGTTAAGGTCATGAAAAGAAGTCCTACTCCTCTGTAGAATGCAAGTCTGAAGACAGCTACAGCATGTATTTGATTCTTTTTTATTAGGACATTTTACTAAGAGGTTTACAGGAGTTTGATTGGAATTCTTTAAAATTGCCCTTTGGAATTTAAATTTTGGAAAATAATCCATGCTATGTTTTCCACCTCCTTCTTTTCATTCAACTTTAAAAATGTAAATATCCTTATATATGTGCCATCTTTTAGATACTCTGCTATGTTTATAGGACACGCAGTTTTTTGTGGTTGTTTGTTAAGAAGCTTTGGTACTTTGTCTTACAAGCCTAAATATTAAGGGAAGAATCCTATTTAAGAATTTGAATTGCATAGGTTCAAGAAGAACCTTAGTTCTGTTCTACTTTTAGCTTTGCAGACACGCATTCAAGACACCTGTGTCTAATTGTAGTGCCTTAATGCCAGGGGAAGAAAGGGAGCTTTGTTTATTCAGAAGTTCATCTACTTAAAGGGATGTATTTGTTTGAAACTTTGGGATTTTTGTGGCCCTTTAGGTCGCATTGGCTCTCAAGTCATCATCCCCTATCGCTGTGATCAGTATGACCTGATGTATCTGCGGCCCATGGGCGACCTGGGGCAGCTTCTCTTCATGGTGAGTCTGGCTTGGGATCAAGCACAAAGCCCTGGCTGTACAAGTACTCCTTCTCAAAGACACAAATGTTGTTAAGCTGGTGTTTAGCCTCTAAATGGAAATGGTGTGAAAGAGCTTGCTTTGGTGATGCCTGTTTGCACATTATCTCATCTTTTCCCCATCTGATGCTCTGCTTTTGCAGGAGTGGGACTGTCGGGACAAAGATTCCATCCAAAGAGCCGTGCAGCACAGCAATGTGGTCATTAATCTTATTGGAAAGGAATGGGAAACAAAGTAATTCTCCTTTTTTTTTCTTTTCCTATATGTGATGGATTTGCACCAGGTATTGTTGCCATGTGTCACAGCGTGTATGTGCAGTGATGATGCCATTGTTTTTGGCTTCTGTGAAAAGGCAACCTCAACATTTTGCATATAAAATTCCTTTCAATGGTTAGCTCCAGTCCTGGCTGTGATCTGCTTTGGAAAAGTGTATTCTTTCCAAAATTTTCCAGTATACAACTTCTGTCAGAAGATTCAAACATGCTGTTTTCGCATACCTCATAGGTGTTTCTTGAGTGCCTTCCTATAGATGACAGAGCTTTACCAATTATTTATATTTATATTTATATTTACACTGACATTTTATTTATATTTAACTCATATTTACTTTATATTTACATTATCACAGAAGTAACATTTCATCCTGTCAACTGGACATAGTGATGAGTTGTAGCCTGCTATGAAAACCCATGATCAAACAGGAATAAGTGATGGAGAGTCCCTAAGATTATGACTAGTAACATCATTCTTTGATAGAATTTTGGCACAGACAACATTAGCTACAGAAACATTCTTTCATAATACTTTCTAAGAATAGTTCCTTTCTTAAATCGATTTAAAAATTCCCATACTTTAAGTTAAAAATACCTATAACAGCCACCTTCTCTGTGTATGTGTTCATGCAATTATGTTCATTTTATTTAAAGCCTTGTGCAGAACTGCCAGACAAAAATTTAATGGTGAGATTTGCCTTTGTATGTAGACACAAACAAATGTAGATATCATGTTTACAAACCTAATGCTTTTGTTGCCCTTTTTTTCATGAACAGCCCTTTGATGTTCAAAATTTCTAGACTTGTGTAAAAAGTATGATTTATAGAAAAGACAGTTTCTTTTATTATTAAAAGGAAGTGTGAGAACAGCAACAGAAAGCTTCATTCTGTTTAAAAGTCCCCAAACCTTGTTCTCTGTTCAGTTTCAGTAGATTCAGACAAGTCTTGGTCCATGTTTAAAACTTTTGAGCATTACACAACTTAACCACTGTGTGGCACAAATGTTTTAATGACATGTTTTATGCATGTGGATGTCTGGTGGTGCTGAAACCCTGAGATCAAGTTCTCTGGTTTGTTAAACACGAGGTCAGAGTAATCATTGTAATCATTGTAATCATCCCAGAGCCTGTGAAAAGCTTGGGCAGGAAGAAAAGTAAGATTAGATGGAGAGATCAGTCAAAATAAGCAAAGCCTGCCATGAAAATACTTTCCTCCTTGCCTTGTACTTGTGCCCAGGCTCCTCTGTGTGTACTGTGTTGTTTGAAACTCCATGGTTACAGGAGAGATGTTGTTCATTCTCGTGTGTTTCTAAATCTGTTTTGGTGAGCAGAGCAGGAGTGATGGTTCCCAGGATCAGATTAGTTATTGAAGGCTCAAAAATAACTTTGTATTTTTAAGGCTTTCTTTGGACTCCAGTGGGATCTGAAGAGCTGTGGGAGGAGATAAGGACACAGAGGGAGCTGTTTGGACAAGATGGTTGTTACCCAGAGCGAATGGTCAAGATGCAGGGGTGCTTACAGGGACAGTACAGTGACATGAGAAGCCAGTTCTCTTTCTTGCAGCCTTGGGATAGTTGGAAAGAGTTTTGGGATTGTTGGCAGCCTATAATGTCAGTTCTGCATGGAGACAGAGCTTCTTTATTGTTCTTTATCAGATACCAAACTGTTTCACAGTACAACCCCCTAATTTAGGCCCCTTGAATGTCATACAGTGAGGGGAGGATTGCTCTGAAATAGTTCTAAATGCTCTGACAAATTATTTTTCCATTTGCATGAGCACCTCTGTGATCTCTGGTTTGTTTTTTTTCTGCTTCCCCCTGCCAAGCATCTGCCCTTACTTGTGTAGCTCAGAAATTTTCAGCTTCTTTGTAGTGTAATTAAGTGTGTCAAATCGAGGCAAATTTTGAACAGGATTTGTAAAAACACAGCCTTGCTCAGAGTTCAAGATGCCAGAGTGCTTCTTTTAATAAAAATAACCTGTTTTCACTTTCCCTGGGAGTTTTCTATTTCACAGACAAGTGGGGAGGAAGATATTTCGTACTGATTTAATCTTACTAGGTGAAAAGGCAGAGACACTGAAATTGAAGATTACAGTTTCAATTTCACTTGCCTTTAATTTTATTGCGTGAAGAGTCCATTATGAAGGAAAATTTAGTTTCTAACAAAGAGTGTCAGTATAGGTTTTTGATAATACATTCAAGTAATATGTAGTAATTGCTTTTTGGCAGCTGTTGTTGATTGCTCTTAAAATAACATTCAGTTTTGCTTTGCTTTAGAAACTTCAGATTTGAAGATGAATTTGTAAATATTCCTCAAAGTATTGCACAGATAAGTAAGGAAGCAGGTGTGGAAAAGTTCATTCATATCTCTCACCTGAATGCTAACATGAAGAGTCCTTCCAAATACCTCAGGAACAAAGTAAGTCTGGAATCCACTTAAATATATTTGCTGAGAACATACTTTGTGTTTGGTTTGGGTTTGGGTTTTCCCCCCAGCTGGTCTGTTTGACGGAAATCAGTGTGTGATTTTACTAAAGACTCTTTTCTGCAGCTGAGAAATGTTTGGGCTTTCTGTGAGACCTTTATCTTAGTGCAGCATCTCAAGGATCAAATGGTTTAGATATAAATAATTTTTGTGCTACTGATGGCGTCATTTCTTTCAGTTCTGTTGTCAAGGATGCCCTCTGTTGTGAAAGGCATCCACTTCTGCTTGGTTCAGCATGGATCTAATGAATGTGTTCATTTTAATTGATAGGCTGTTGGAGAGAAGATGGTGAGGGAAGAATTTCCAGATGCTGTAATTTTGAAGCCCTCTGAGATGTTCGGGAGAGAGGACCGATTTCTCAATCATTATGCAAGTATGTACTCTTGGAATAATAAACCCATATAGGATTGGTTTAACTGCCTGTAGAGAGCAGAGAGAAAATTGGATTTGCTTCTGAATTGCAGATAGATGTGTTTTTATCAGGAATGTGTGGGATACATAGCAACATACTAAATTCTCAGCTCTTGACAAAATTCTTTCTCAATCTAGTTAGATGTTGCTCTTTGTTTTTATTTTTGTAATCCTTTTATTTTGAGGGGGGAGTGTGTACTTAGCCACTCTAAGGAAACAGCAGATGTAGCCCTCTCATTGCTGTTAATATGAAAATTACATGTGTTTTGAAAAAAATGGTGCTGCAATTGGCTGGGCCTTCTTCCCAGTCCTACTTTTTTTAAAGCAAAGTCAATTTTCAGAAGAGATCCACACTCGATGTGGTATAAAATGTCTTGGTCATTCTGCATTCTGGTACTGAAAGGATTCCCATATTTTCTCTTTTCTTCTGTCAGACATGCGCTGGTTTGGTGGTGTGCCTCTTATTTCTCTGGGCAAAAAAACAGTCAAGCAACCAGTCTATGTAAGTTTTCCACGAAATTCCAATCCCAAATCTTTGGGTGGATATGTTAATCTGTAAATCACCTCTGAAAGAAGAGTGTGTGCATTCCTGTTTTCTCTTGGTAACTGTTGGAATTTGTTCCTCACAGGTGGTTGATGTAGCAAAGGCAATTATTAATGCAATTAAGAATCCTGATGCAAAAGGAAAAACATATGCCTTGGCTGGGTAGGTCACTTCTGATTCTAATGAACTGTAGTAGATCTTTCTGGTGTCAGTTTTTGGCATGCTGCACAGTACATTTAATTTCTCCATCCATGCACACAGTTTGAGCTGCAATAAATTCCACCTCCTTTTTGGGAGGAAAAATGGCTCAAGCTCTTACTGTGAGTACTCTGAAAATCCTAATCTGGGCTCCACTGCATTTCATGTGATGTATGTGGACACAAAGAAATAGCATGGGAAACTTGCTAGACAACGTGGATTTGGGGAAAATTCTGGTAAAGCTGTGTGGAAACCGCCTGGAATTAGAATGACTTAGAGGCAGTGGATCTACAGTTAGAAACTGGATTTACAGGTTTCCCAGAGAAGCTGTGGCTGCCCCATGCCTGGCAGTGTTCAAGGCCAGGCTGGATGGGGCTCTGAGCAACCTGGGATAGTGGGAGGTGTCCCTGCCTATGGCAGGGGGTTGGAATGAGATGGTTTTTAAGGTCCTTTCCAACCCAAACCATTTTATGTTTCTCTGATCTCTTGGAACTTACCTGGAGAACATGTCAGTTGAAGGCTCAGTTTTCATGCCTATAACTTCAGACCTTGGCATATGTGAGACCCTGGGTTTATCAAACTGCTCAGCACTGTACTCCTGTGTTGTCACGGAGCTTTTCAGAATGTCTTGGAATGACAGCAAATTGCCTGGAAAGCCAAGGGAGATACCTGACAGCTCAATCTGAGCCATCTAGAGAGCCTAAAATGCCAAGGCTGAATCTGAACAAGAAAGGAATGGGAATTCCCAGTGGTTTATGTTACTCTTAGGCAGGTGGATGGAAGACTGCTTCATTCTCTCCATCTTGAGAGAGGGAGAATGCATTTTTTTGACAATTCACCTTGGTTTTAAATAGAACAAGATATTCTTAGTCAAGTAAAGGCAAGTGAATCGATTTCACTGCAGCCATTTCCTACCAAAGATGGGATGTCTTGTTAATAAAGTGTCCTTAATTTTCCATTTGCTTTCTGGCTTCCAAGTGGGCTTGAACAAACTCCTGTCACAGTGCTGGAAGTCTTGAGTTCAGAATTGGAGTCAGCATGGAAGGAGACACACTCAGGTGTGCTTTCAAAGCACACAGAATACACTTCATCCAGTGTGGGTGTGGTGGGTTAGCCTTGGCCAGCAGCCAAATGCCCACTGTTCCTTTCTGCCACTTATTTTCCATGCTTTTTCCCAGCTCCAGGATGGGCCTTTCCACAGGCTGCAGTCCTCCAGGATAAACCTCCTACCTGTGAGCCACAGGGGAATCTCTGCTAACAAATTATTTGGATTGAAGAAACGGGCTTTTTATAGCCTTGGGGATGTAGGGTTTAAAATCTTTTTTTTTTCCTCTTGCTGCAAATATTGAAGTGTAGCTGATTGAAGTGTGATGTTTGCTGCTCTCCCTTCCAGCCCTCACCGGTACCTCCTGTATGACATGGTCGAGTACATCTACACCATTTCCCACCACCCCTTCATTCCCTACCCACTGCCACGGCCTCTCTACCAGTAAGTGAGATCCTAACTCAGTAAGCTCTTAGCAGCACAGAAGCATAAGTACCTGTTGTATGGGTTATTTACTCTCCCCAGCTGTTATTTAGTGTGGTGGGGTTGCAGAAGTTGTCTTTCCTGAGGTACTTGTTAGCCAGTTTTGAGCCTTCAGCTCAGGGACAGACCTGCAGTTGATGAGCTGGTACATGAAATGGATGCTTGTAGTGAGCTTCACATAGATGTTCATTCCAGAGTCATTTCTCCCAGACATTTAGGGACAGGATGAGAGGACATAGTCTCAGCTGCACCAGGGGAGGCTCAGGTTGGACATCAGGAAGAATTTCTTCACAGAAGTGTGGTTGAACATTGGGATGGGCTACCCAGGGAGGTGTTGAAAAAACAACTGGACATGGCACTCAGTGCTCTGGTCTGGTTGGCAAGGTGTGGTGATCAGCAGAGATTGGACTTGATCATCCTGGAGGTCTTCTCCAGCCTAAGTGATTCTGTGATTGAATGGCTTTGCTGAGCCAAGAAGTAGCAAAAGGTCCTAATTTGATAAAATTAGTAGCAAAGCAAATGATTTTGAATAATACCACAGGGAAAATCTGTGTGCATGTTGCTGACTGCAGGCCCTGACAGATTTTTGTACACAATCATAAGGATCTGCTTAAGAGCTTGGGCCTGATCCTTAGGGAATAATCACATCTTTTTGAAGAGCTACCCCAAACAATAAATGCCATTTCAGAAGTTGCCCTCAGCATGATGGGCTGCGTTATTATTTGGCATCCTGGTCCTCCTCATTTTTAGTACAGCGCCAATTAATAAGCTTAATCAGTCACCAGAGTTAGAACCGTCCTGCCAGTGGAACTCAGCATTGGATCCATGGAAGTGCTGATGGATAACACTTAGAACATTCTAAACTGTTGTGGCTGTTCTGTATTGGCTGCAAGAGGCACCAGGTTATAACATGGCACAGGTGACACAGAGCAGCTTGTTAAAAAGGTGCTATGTGGTTGCTTCTTAGTTTTAGTCACATTTGCTGCAGTCCGTGTTATGCTTTTTTGTTTATGAGCTAAACTAAGTGTTAGTTCATATTTTTGAGAAAAGAATGCACCTAAAAGGCAGATGAGTTGTGTTTATGTGCAGTAACTCAGTAGCACCCTAATCTGCCAGGTAAGGACTTCAGCAGGAGGTCCTGCCTGTTCAGTGAGAGATTCTGCTGTTGGTCCTGAGATGCTGAGCAAGAGCTGTAGTGTTATTTTCTTTTCCTTATCAGATTTCCTTCTTTCAGGGGAATCTTCATTTCTGAAAACTGCAGATATCCTAATCCTGACCCTTTTTATAGATTGCTCCAGATTCCACCAGCTTGTTTGTGTTGCTGATAACTCATTTAGTTGTCAGCAAGTGTGTTTTCTCCTGGAGGCATTGAATCCAGCTTCGTGACTAATTACATTGCTGCCTACACTGGCAGGGAACAGAGTTTGGATGAAAGGCAGGGGCAAGACTAAGCCCTCTGGTGTGTGGGGAATTGGATGTGGGGTTTACTTTCCCCTCCTACTAATGCTCATTTTAACTTCTAGAGATCTACTTCTCCATTCCATCCAAAGTAAAATAATAGAAGATCAAATAATTCAGGAACAGTTAATTACCAGAAACACAACTAAGAGCTTGGTGGCTGGCACATCTCGTGCTTTAATGAACTCAGAACTTGCAAGAACAGCTTCAGAATAAGCTCTTTCTCACTGCCTATTAAGTCTGAAATAAATTTTACCAGATTTCTTTGTATCTGGATAAATGACTGCACTTTTGCAATATTTCTTCTGTTCACAGTTTAGTTGCAAGATTCTTCGAGATGAATCCATTTGAACCGTGGCTGACACGGGACAAGGTGGATCGGGTAAGTGTGGGATCAGCCAAAACATGCCTCTTGGGAAATGTTGCATTGTGCATTTGTAACTCCCACTTGTAGTTTTGCATTCCCCAAAAACACATGGAATTGAAAACAGCCAAAAGTAGAGGTTGGATGAGCAAAGTGAGGGACGCAGTGCTCCCCACTCTTAATCAGTTTATGTACCTCTAGGTGCACTAAAATAATTTACATCATCCAGGGAATGGTGTTGTTAACGACTGAAGTTGAACTGACACCCTGCACACTTCCCAAAATCTCACTTAACATTCAAGTGCATTTCCTGGGAGAATGTTGTCACTTCATGTTTATTCCTGACTTACCAGAGTGCTTCATTGGGGGTGGAGAGATAAGTTGCAAAAAACAAACTGCAAGCAAGAAAAAAGTAGCAATTGGCAAGTATTAGTGTCAAATTCTGGCATATGTGTAGGCTAGCAAAGACAGTCATGTACATTCCCTAAACTTTCTGAATTATGGAGTGACTCTCCCAACTGTTTTGCAGCAGTAGAATTTCAATATGTTTTGTTATCACACAGTATCAATAGCCTACTTAACCTGATTGTCCCCCAGGATACAATTGTAACATCTCCAAAAACCTTTCTTCCAGTTGCCTTTGTAGTTTCTTGAGTTACATTTCATAAAATAAGCCTGCACCAGATCACTAAAACTGCTGCAAGTCAGCTGTAGCATAGGTGGTGTAAGAGGGAGTTTCTCCATGTCACTTCTGAGTCTGGTTGTTCTTCTTTCCAAGCTTTTCTTCCTTAAATAATCTGTGCAATATTAGATGTGTTTGACTTAGAAGACCTTTCAAGGAACACCAGCATAAGAGAAATCTGTTTTCTAGGATATACGTCATATGGGTTGCATATATGCTAATTAGAATTATTTGTCCTGTGCATGTTCTAAACCATAAGCAGAGCAAAATAAGCTACCAGAGATGGTAATTCAACACAACATTTTCTTGACAAGTCAGAATATTCATAATTGGAGTTCATATATAGCATTGGAGTTCTTAATTTTGTGGTTGCAATGCAGTAAACCTCCCTGATAATGCATGGAGAGGAAAGGAAGACACTTCCTGCATGGTATTTATTCCTGAATTAAAGCCTGAAGGACTTTTTGCTGGATGCAGAATACCTGTACCTCCTATTGAAGGTCTTGGTACTCAAGACCTTGTGTAATAATGCCTCAGTTCTGTTTGAATCTTTCCTCTTCCTCTATTTCTTTTGGCAGGAGAATGATTGCATTGGGTGTAAAGCTATTCATTTCAAGTAAATTATCTTTTTGTTTCCTTACCCTCCCTATTCTTGCTGAAGTTTCACACAACAGACATGACATTTCCTGACCTTCCTGGTTTTGAAGAGCTGGGGATTGAACCAACCCCCCTGGAACAAAAGGCCATCGAAGTCCTGCGCCGTCACCGCAGGTTCCGCTGGTTGGATGCTGAGCTGGAGGAAGTAAAGCCAAAAACACAGCCCATGTAACAGCTGGCAAGGGGGATACTTAAAGCTTCTTAAACTGCCTTTGGATGACCCAACCTCTTTGGAGAACTGTGTACATACTGAGTAAAATGTATGAATCATGTAAACTGTGTTTCACCAGTGTTGTCTTTTCAGTTAAGGGGGGACTGTCACTGCAATGCAGATTTTCTCTCTGCCACAAAAGCAAATAACGTGGTGGCTTAGATGGTGAGCACTGTAATGTTTTGAAGGTTGGGACTAGAGGGAATGTGCCATAACACTTGTCCCTTTCTCTCTTGGCTCTCAAAACAAATGTATCACTGAGCTTTAGGTGCTCAAATGGTTTCAAGAGTGTTGCAGTTTGGGACTAGATTGCCCAGACCGTGCCCTTTCCAGTAGGGATTGCTCGGAATGCCACCTGCTCAGACTATGAGATCTCAGACAAAGCCCTGGTTTTAAGTTTTTGACTCTTCTGAACTTGGCCTTCTGCACTGAACACAGCTCTTAAAGAAAGTGCCAGCCTCCTTTCAGGGAGTTGCAGAGAACTATGAGGTCACTGAGCCTCCTTTTCTCCAGGTTAAACACCCCCAGCTCCCTCAGGTGATTGCTGTAGCCAGAGAACAGTCTCTCACTCTTTCTGTATTGCTAAACTACTGTGAAACTTCTGGGCAAAGTGTTTCTCAAATTTCAAGAGCTTACACATTTTGTTTTCCACATCAAAACTGCTGCTGCTAATGTTTACTCTGTGAGAAAGAGGTAGGCTCTTGTGATAGTGTGAGTTTTTTTGATCCTGCCTTTGAAGGAAGTATTAAATTTGGCTCTCATGGATTGCTTATTTTTCTTTTGATAACATAAATTCAGTACTTTTAAAATAAATCTGACAGTTCAAAAGCTAGGGCAAAACTGGAAGTGCATATTGTTAGTAATTTGAGCCTCAGCTTTTATTATTTTTGGCTGCCAGCTTTTCTTTATCAGACCCTAACTCTGTAGTCTCATTAGCACTCATTTACTAAGTGTGGCCCTGATCTTGATTTATTGCATGTTGCTCACATCCTGCTGTGAAAGCACTCGTGTTTCAGTGAGCTGCTTCACAAGAGTACAGAGATGCAATTATCACATAGCCCTGCATGGTTAACGAGCAGTTTCCATTTTCAGATGGCAGAGTGCTGCAGGAAAAGCTGGCAAAGGCAGTGTTGGAATGTGAGGTGCCAGTTCTGGAAATGTTTACCATGGTGCAGTGATTTATTCCCCCCCCCTCCCCATTCAAAGCACAGTTTTTCCAGTTGCACCCCTGAGCTCTCCTACAGGATCTTAATTCAGACAGCCATTAGAGAGTGGGAAAAGGGTGAATATCCATGGGCCATTGACTTTAAGCAGCTGTTCCACATCAGGAATATGGGTAAAGTAAAACATCACATTACAATACTTGGCCTTCCACAGGATTTCCCCTTCCCACCTTGCAAAAACTACACTCTGCTTTCTCCCTAGTTACCTTTCTAAAGCAATTCCTTTGTTCTGTAATAAAGCCCTGAGTACAGAATTGCTGTAATCTATAGAATTGCTAAGGTTGGAAAAGACCTCCAAGATTGTTGAGCCCAATCTTTGGTTACCACCTTGACAATTAGACCAAAGCACTGAGTGGCACATCCAGTGGTTTCTTGAACACCTCCAGGGATGGGGGTTCCACAGTGTCCCTGGGCAGCCCATTCCAATGTCTGACCACTCTTTCAATGAAAATCTTCCTGATGTCCACCCTGAACCTCCTTTGGCTCAGCTTGAGTCTGTTTCCTCTTGTCCTGTCCCTTCTTACCTGGGAGCAGAGCCTGACCCCCCCCAGCTGTCCCCTCATGTCAGGGAGTTGTGCAGAGCCAGAAGGTTCCCCCTGAGCCTCCTTTTCTCCAGGCTGAGAAAAGCTTAAAAGGTTTCTCCAGTTGCTTAAAGGACAGATTTTAATGACTAAGAAGAGCATTCATGCTGGCAGTAATTATTCTGTAGTTACCTCTCTCTCCCTGCTTATTTCTTCTTTTCCCTCTGCCCTAAGAAATGCACATGGATATGATTCTATGAAATGAGATCAGAGGACTGTTACATAAAAAGCAATCCAAATTCTGAGTAATTAATGAGAATATTATTGCAGCTTATTTGAGGTAGGTGAGCAGAAGGTGAAGGGCACTGACAAAAGAGCAAAGGGAAGCTGGTGGCAGAGCTGAGAGCAGTGATGGTCTGCTGCTATCAGGCTTCTTTCCCGGGACTCGCTCCTAAACACCACTCCTTGGAAAAGCTTAACATCAGTTGGGTATGTTGCAAACTACGGAATGGAAATTGCCTTTCTTATCCTCACTAGGGAATATCAGGGATTTTGTTGCCGAGATTCTGGTTTGGAGCAGAATATGGCATCCACAGCTGGAGAAACAGCTATAGCAACACGTGTAGGTTGCTTTACCCCTATAGCCACAGACCGGGCTTGCACTGAATCGCCAGTAGTCGGAGCTGCTGCTTAGCAAATCCTGATCCCGGTTTTCCATCCACCTCTTCCGGAACCTCCTTGCCAAAGATTCATCCTCTGTGCTGATAAAACTGATTAAAAAGCCATTAAATATCTCCCTTCAAAGTTTTTTGTTTATACACATACGAAGGGTAGTGAACAACAGCTCACTGTCCTGATGGACATCGGGCACGTGGTGTCCCTCAGGAGCTCATACTGGGACCTGTGTTATTTCCTGTCTTTTTAAATGATGTAGTCAAAGGGATTGAGTGCACCCTCCGGAAGTTTACAGATGACACTAAAGCAGAGTTGCCACACCTGAAGGACAGGATGCCATCCTGAGGGACCTGGCACGGGTTGCCTAGAAAGGCTGTGGCTGCCCCTGAAAGTGTCCAAGGCCAGGCTGGATGGGGCTGTGAGCAACCTGGGCTAGTGGAAGGTTGCTCCCCTCCATGGCAGGGGGATGGAACTGGATGATCTTTACCCCTCCAACCCCAACCATTCTGTGATTCTGTGATTTTGGCAATAGAGGTGCATGTTCCTTGCTTTAAAACCATTGAGTTCACTTGTCTCAGGATTATCCCTGAACCTTACTATTGCAAACCTCCTGTACATGGAGGAGATGCCTCTCAGCTTCTGGTCCCTGGTCAAAGCAGTCTGTACTAAGAAACAGAAACCCTGTTCTGCCAGAGGAGCACCTCAGGTGCTGTAGGGGATTTGTCCAACTGCCTGCACCTGAGGAGCTTTTCAGGTGTGGCCGGAGGGAGGACTGGAGGCAAAGGTGACCACAAAGTGCTTAAAGCAGCCCTGGGTGGGGGAGGCAGGTGTAGGGTAAGGAGTCAGTTTGGCTCTGGCAGTTGTGGTTATGAAAGCTCTGCTGAGCTGCTCATGGAACTGCTGCTTCTCTTCACCCAGCAGTGCCTGTGGTAAGTCACTCTTTTGCCTTTTTGCTGCCTGAAGGACTTGTAATGGGCTTTGCAGATTCAGGAATGGATGGTTTTGCAAGCTGAGGCTTCAGTGAGCAGCTGAAGAATGCTCTCCTGGAGACATCTGGTTTCTTCTGGGTTTGTGTCTTGTGGTTGGTATCTCAGGGCTGTGATTTTGTCCCTGTTAAGGTGTTTGTGTTGTCTCTCTGCCATAGAACTAGCTGGTGTGGAAGGCTTAAATTTATGTTCTTTCTATGAGTGGATAAAGTGCGAGTTTTGTTTTCTCTGAATTTGTCCCCTGTCTTTGGCCAACAGGGCTTACTGAGGGAAGGGTGGAAAACAGGAGTATTTACACATTCTGTAGGTCAAGCTTCCTTAGGAAGTTCACCTCTAGCTAATGTTGCTATTAATGAAAATTAAGCTGGTGCTGCCACTGCATTTTTTGAGCTTCTGAAGGCTGAGGGCAGCCTGGGCAAAGCAGAGGTTGTGTCCCAAGAATGTGTCAGAGCAGTAATTCAGTAACATAATTGAGTGAAAATGAAAACAAAAGATGTTCACCTGTTTCCAGTTTTGACAGCATTTTTCTACCTGTTTCTCCCACGTGCACCCCGTGCTTTATACCCTGAAGTTTAAGATGGGTAGGAAAGAAAGAGCCACTCCTTTTTCCATGTTTGTTGCTCCCCAGACCATATTATTCCTTTCTTTTTGCTGCCTTTAGCATTTTCCCAGCCTGCACTTCAGTGCATTTATGAATCTTTAACAAAAGAATAACCTCCCACATTCTTGTGTTTTCTTGAAACAAGAAAAATCTATTATTTATTTATGATAAAAATCTATGATCTATTTATGATACAGCATAAATTAAAGAACAATCCCCTTCCCCACTAATTAACTTTTACTGTAAATATTTGAAATTTTTCATGCTAGTCTTCAAAAACTGGCTTAAGTCTGCTTGAAATTCCTAATCTGACTTACCCAGGCCACTGACTTCATTTTAGAACCATGGACTCATCATTCCAGGGCAGCTTATCCCAATGCTTGATAACCCTTTCTGTGAAGAAATTCTTGCTGAAAAATACAAAATTCAGAAATGCAGAAGAAATGCTTCCCTCCTTGGCTGTGTGCTCAAGCCTGCTTGGCTTTACTGCATGTGCAGCAGGAACCCACCTTGGGAGGACGAATTTGAAAAGGAAGAAAAGGTTTTATTCTGCAGTGTCTGGAATAGAAAGAAGAGCCAGTCTGGAGACAGGAGCTATTTAAGGGACAATTACCTGCCAGTTTCTTTAAGGGGAAACTAAATCAGAGAACAGACAGAATCATTTAATCTGTTGCTGGGGGATTTGATTAGTTCTGATCAAACCTTATGTGGTGAAATTGTGATAATCAATAATAAGATAATTAAAAAAAAAAAAACACACTGCTTTTATTCACATCTTTTTTTGCTTGACTTCTCTAAAGTCAGGAGATAAATTTAGATTTATCTTTTCATTTTCCTGCCTCTTTGTGAAACTGCAGCCCTGTTGAAACATCAAGTGTGCTCATTATCAACAGGGTATAGAGCCCTGCTTGCATCAAGTGTGCTCCAGTCAGGATCAGTAGGCAACATTGAGCCAAATTATTATTTGAATTTCATCTGTCTTGTGTCAAAAGCAAGAGAAGAAAAAATGTAGTTTTCAGAAAGTTAGATGATTTACTATTGG